ATTTTATTAAGAATGCTTTGTAAAAGTGGAGCATTTGTGATTTTATGCGTTTCCTGGCTTACTTACTATGCAAATGACTTTTAGCCATTAGATTTGTTTTAAAGCTTCCCTGTTTCTTAACATTCAATTCAGTCATTACTAAGATATTCAAATGTATGTTTGTGCAACAACCTCTTCACAACAATACAACAAACTTTCATGGATCTAAAGAAACAGAAAAAAGAATTATGTATCTATAGGTGGACTTTTTATAGGAGTCATCTCCTGCTATTAATTATGCCCCTATGTTCGTTATTACTATGCCATCCGGCTTTCTGATTAATGTCTACTTTCTTCTCAAATTCATCTGCAACCCCATGGCAGACTCATCAGCCAATGTCCCCAATATGAATTGAAAGAACATTACAAGGATCACGTTTGCATGAATGCTTGTATTTTTACAATTTCATACTTCCATGCACTGTCACTCTTGAATTAAAGTTCATCCTCTTTCCATCTTTGAAAGTAAATGGTGGAAACAAGTACCATTCAGCATTATATTTAGTTGTGACAAATGTTGCACATTTTCTTTTACGTGGTGTCTAAAGATTAAAAAAGCATGTTTAAGGCATAATGAAAATATCAGTATCAGCTATTAGTGATTAGTAATTTAGAATATGACAAAGACTGCTTTGAAGTATTTTAGGATGGAAGAAAAAGCAGTTCAAACTGGGCTAAGAATTGTCTATGTTTTATTAAGCATTCAAATTGAAAAAAAAAATTATTTTGGACTTTATTTTGAAAATCAGTGCAGATCCACTGGATTAATCCATCAGTGTACTTTCCAAAGCATGTATGAAAGAAGCTTTAAGGGACAGTATCTACAAGTTTAGAGTTTAACATGCAAAATTAGAGTCCACCATTGGCATCATCTTGACAAAGCCTTTTATTCTAACAATCCAAGGTTTGTTTCTGTTATAAGGTCGCTTTACACTGTTCCTTATGCCACGAATGCTGCAATTCCAAAAACAAGTTGCATGGGTCTGAATGAAGTACTCCTCTTGTGAAGTGTTTGCATACTGGTACCGGTGTTGTGAAATTCCCAATTTTCTACCAACACATGGCTGGCCATTTGATTTTTTGATGATGTCATCATCTAATTTTTAAACATACTAATTATTAATTAATCAGAGTGATGTGTAAATAATGTTATCTTTGGGTTTCTGGTGTAATATCTAGGTCATATAGCTATTGAATAAGTACTGAATGTGAACAAAATTTTTGTCACTCCTCGTTTACTGAAAGAGAAACCAACAACGGTCAAATATATAGGTTGAATCTGAAAAAAGTACTAATAAATAAGAAAATCTATGTAAAATAGAGTCAAATATTGCTCTTCGATCATGCTTCAAAATAAAGATTTTTAAAAATGTACTTATGAAACAGGCCTGGACAGAAAGCGATCTTGATGCTAGGGTTGTTGTTCTCCTAGGGCCTCCTCCACGTCTCCTGTTGTGCTGGCCTTTCTTCTTGTAGTGTCTCCAGCTTCTGGACACTACGCTGACAGACACTTAGATGTGCCATCCTAAATGAGCTGCACTACTTGAGCTACTTGTGTGGGTTGTAGAGGTCATTTCATGCTATGGCGGATGTGAAGGCAGAAAGCATAGGTATTGAGAAGTGGTCTGTGGTTGTAACCTAGAGAACCACTTCTTTACTGTGTGTGTCTTGCTAATTGGAAACAATTTATACCTGTTGTCTATTCCATTTGCACAACAGCATGTCAAATTATCATGTGTTGATTATCAATCAATGTCCCCATCTAATTGGAGTGTTAGATTTTGCAAAGGTTTGATTTGATTGAAGTTATATTGTGTTGTCTACATGTTCCATTTTTTTATAGTGTACAGTATATACATGTATACGTAAATATATATATATATATATATATATATATATATATATATATATATATATATATATATATATAT